ATATATATATATGTATATATATATATATATGTATATGAATATATGTATATATATATATATATATATATATATATATATGTATATATATATATATATATATATATATATATATATATATATGTATATATATATATATATATATGTATATATATATATAAATACGTTTATATATAATATATATATATATACAAGCAAAACAAAACTACAACTAAAATACATAAAATGTGACGGGGCTGCGTTATAATATATATATATATATATATATATATATATATATATATATATATATATATATATATATATATATATATATATATATATATATATATATATATATATATATATGTATATATGTAAATATATATATAAATATAAATATATATATATAAATGTATATATGTATATATATATATATATATATATATATATATACATATATACATTTGCAAATTTGCGCACACTTTGCAAATGTGTGAAAAATTGTTTTAATTAAAAATTGATAAAATTCAATAAGTATCTTTGATATATTTAATTATTATATATCTTATTGACTAGAATAAAAGTTGTTTGAAAATAAAACTCCTTTATAATTTAATAAAAAATTATTTAAATTAAAAAAAAAAAAAATTGAAAGAATTAAAATGAAACTGGCTTATTCTGGCCAACGACACGGGTTTGAAGTGGAGGTGCGCAACTATCTATTAATGAAAAGAGTCCTCTATATCTAAAATTTCTCTTAAATTAAAAAAAACAACCTTTAAAAAAAAGTGTGTGTGTGTGTGGGAGGGATGCACGCAGGTTTGTGTGTGTATATTTGATATACCTCTTAAATTAGACGTTCGTCAATAAATAAAGAAACAAACGTCAACGTTTATTAAAAAAAAACGATTTGGTCGCGCCCTGGTCTTAAGCAAAAAAATCAAAACAAAAGTTTATGATAAATAATTAAATTATCAGTTTTTGATCAATGTTTGATATTTGATCGCCCTTATGTCATGCCAAAACTTTAATTTTTGGACCATAACATTATATTATTAATTTTAGTCATATATTGTAAAAATATATGAAAAACACAACATCTTTTGATATTCAAGGGTTGAATTAAGCAATTACAAAATGAAAAATCTGGAAAAATATCTGGTCTTCAAAATTTTAGTTTATGCAAAACTGTGTTTTGCATAAACTAAAATTTAAACGATAAACTAAAATTTAAACCAAACGATTTGCATTTCTTAAAAACATCTCTAAAAAAGTTTACATTTTTAAACCTTAATTTTTTGTGTTTTCTGCTTATTTTTGATTATTACTGTTATATATTTAAAAAAAGTAGAATTTAAGCTTTTTTCATATAATTTATTTTTTTATAAATATTTTTTTAACCAAAGCATCAAGCAAAACATAACTAAAATACAGAAAATATGACGGGGCAGCCTCATAAAAACAGCTGAAACAAATGTTTTAAGTATTTAATATGCGCGGAGAAACAAGTTGATACTTGTTTCTCCGCGCAGCGGCCTTGTTCGTCAAGGTTCGTGTTTTGGAGTTATAGAGTTAAGAGAGGGTTATAACCACTATTAAGTAGCCTCCTTGTCTGTAGTGGCCTTCTCGGCCTTGAGAAGGTGAATAACTAAAAAAAAAAAAAAAAAAAAAATTTACATTTCAAAAATACCTAATTTATTCAAAAGTAAAAAGACTTCTTGTTTACAACATTAAAGTATTCAATAAATGGCTAAAAACCTCCCATTTTATCTTTCCGTAAACAGTAAAAACGTTAAAATCAAAGTTTTCACATTAGTTTTCACTCATAGCAATTTACTTCCATAATCTCTTTATAGTCGTTTGAATAAATTACTAAACAGAATCATTTCAGTTTTTATATAACTTCTGCCCTATAGTATTAAGCTAAAATTTCAAACTCGTTGATGATAAATTCATCAAATATTTGCAAACAATATAAAACAATGAGCTTTTAAAAAATAAACTAAGGGTTTAAATGCTGTATTTTTCTTTGGATCTCTTCTTAACTATGATTAGTAATCCCAAATTTTAATTGAAGTAAAAAAGCATCTAGAAAAATAGAGTGGATATTCAAATAATATTTAAAACTTATTAAGGAACTTAAACAACTTTTTAAAAATGTACTGTATAAAATGTTTAGCATTATGAAAAACATTAATAATGGTCCGTAAAAATGAGCATTATTTTAAAATGAACCAATAAAAACTTTTTATTGGTTGATTTTAAAATTAACACTTGTTTTTATGGACTATTAGTAATGTTTTAATGCTAAACTTTTTATTAAGTAGTTTTTATCCAGTTGGCTAAGTGTATTTGTAAAAGTCCTTGAAGTTTAATAATATTTAAATATCCACTTTATTTTTTCTAGATGCTTTTTTACTTTGATTAAAGTTTAGAATTACTAATGAACAAAGAATGAACTTTAAAAGTTGCAAGTTTTATTACAATTATAATGCAGTTAGTGACTAGAGTGTTATTACTTTTGTAGTCGTAAGTTTATTGTTTTGTTTTTTGTAACTTTTTTGCTGACAAACTTATAATAATCTTTTCCTTGAAAACAAAGTACACAACTTTGCATAAACTAAAATTTTGATGACCAGATATTTTTCCAGGTTTTGCAAATCACTATCACTTAATTCAACCCTTGATTTAATTAAAACTTAATAGAATTAATTTATTTTGATGTCAGTTTGAATTGAACTTTTTCCAATAATCAAAGCTTAAAATTTTTTTTTTTATTGATAGTAAAATTTTTTGCTACAGAATTGAAAATGAAAAATGTACTTTAGGGGCTGTGTATACATATAAAAATAATCCTGCCTAACCGGGATAACCCCCCCCCCCACACACAAATATTTGGTGAGATCTCACCTCTCCTTTAAAACTCATACAATTTTAATATTGCACTTGTATGTAAAATCAAGGTCTTTCTATCAACCCAATATATGGGTTCATAGCTCTAGCGGGAACCCAATATATGGGTTCTGGCTAGGGCGGGGTAAAAACTTTTCATATGAACACAAGCTAAAAATTTAGTTGCAAAAAAATTGACTTTCAAAAAAAATTTAACTTTAGTAAAAGTTTTTATTATGGGAAAAAAATATAATTCAAGTTGACATGAAATTAAATTAATTTTGTTAATTCTTTAAAAATGTAGTATTTTTCAATTAATTTTACAAAATGGTTAAAATTAAAAATGAAAGGAGAACAACCAGAAAAACAAAAAAATTTCAGAACTGTAACAAAAATTTAAAAACCACCATTTGATTCAAATTAGTTTATATATATCTTACAACGTAAATATCGCTGAATATATAAATATTTCATAAAAAAGTAGAAATTGTCAAAATCATGTTAAAATAAAGCTTTAATAACTTCCTACAGGGTTTTTTAAGTTATAATAATGCTTAAGTTATTGATACAGGTTATACCAAATTCAAGAATTTATAAGCATTAAAATACTTTGTTTAAATATTATAGCTATTGTACATATTTTATTTATTAATAACATTAATAATAGTTATTATTTGTATTATAAATATATAAATTATCATTACGAATAGTAATTATTAATAAATTATGGATACATGTTTTTTAGACTCTTTTTTAAAAAACAAAAAATAAAATTATTTTTTGCGTCTTAACTGTAACATTGTTTTACCAATAATTAATGTTTTGTAAAAATTTCTTTGTTTTTATTTTTCAAAGTTTCTTAGAATACATACACATACATACATTGACTAATTTAGCTGTAGTCACAGTGTAGTATACATATATTGACTGATTAAATAAAGGGTTTAGGTTTTGTCAGGCATCTTTAAACTAAAAGCATTTCAATATTTATTTAAAAAGGATTTAGTGGTCAATAAATTAATCTAATTTATATTAAAAGTTGTTAAATTTAATTACTGTGGATTTTTTGATGAAATAGCCAAAATAGATGGTAATAATTTATGTACAAATAAGCACACACAAATAAGAAAAAATTATTAGAACGAGCAAATAAAAAAAATGCTTTCAGACATTTTATAGTTTTGTTTGTACAACAAGAAATCGCTGAAGTAATTAAAATATTTAAACAACTCTATTTAAATATTTTAAAACTTTTTAAATTCAATTTTCAGTTCTACTTTTTTAAACTTGTAAACGTTTTAAATTTTTAAATGTTTTAAAAGTATAGAACGAATTTAAAGTTTATGAATTAGTTGTTGTTGTAATTTGGCAAAACTGTTTGCGTAATACAGTGTGGTCACAAAATTTTAATAAACATATGCAGATATTTTTTCAATAACTTTTACAACATCCAATTATTAACATTATGGTAATAATTGGAATTTGCCTGTTTCCAGAAAAAATTGTGGAGGTTCTGTCTCCACAATTTTTCTGGAAACAGCTGCTATTGGCTTTCAATCCCTAATGATGTCAGCCTCCAAAACAATTTTGTCCCCAAAAAAGAACTCTGGTTGCAGATGCCAATAGAAGGGCGGAAGCTACTAGAGGCAGAAGAAAGAACATTTTACTGCTAAAAATTGATTAGTAGGCTGCCGCCAACAGTTTCCGTCTCCCTAAAAAGTTGCCCTTTCAGCAAAAAGTTACTTTGCTGCCGGGTGGCTTTATCAACTCTGCTTTATTTATTTTTTATTCTTTAATTTTGATTTTCCTTTCAGTTTACGGTTTGTTTGTTTTTAATTTTTCCATTAATTTAGATTGGTTTTTTCAACACATTTTTTAAAACACAAATTATCAATATATGCAAAAAACTGTGGCCAAATTGTTGAAAAAATTGTATGCGTGGTCATATAAGGCGTGTGACTGTAGGCGTTTCCTGAGAAGGCTTGATAAATATATATATATATATATATATATATATATATATATATATTATATATATATATATATATATATATATATATATATATATATATATATATATATATATATATATATATTGTATATATTTAAGTTAAACTTTTTTTTTTCAGATTCGGTTTCTATGTCATCATCAGATTCATTAAAAAAAAAGCATGGCCATTTTTTCAAAAAGATTTTTCGCAAGGCCAAAGATAAAAAGTCCAAGTCAATGTTTGATTTATCACAAAATAATGAACATCGCAATCATACAAGCAGTATGACTGCAATCAATCAATTGGTACATATTGATTTCCCACATCTTGTAGCATCTGCTATATCTGCAGATTTAGATAGCAAAGAAAACAGTGAAAATGATGGTAATCATTACTTTTTTTTTTAATAAATGTAATTTACTTAAAAATATTTGCAAAATTTTATTTTTATGATAATATGCAACACATGTTTAATGAGTTTTATTATAATGAAATAATTATTTTAATTTTGCTGTTCAGCAACCTGCCCATAACTCATAGGCATGGTAGTGGCAATGCCTTAAATTAATAAACTTTATATATATATATATATATATATATATATATATATATATATATATATATATATATATATACACAGGCCTCGGCAAGAAGCGAGAGCTTTAGCTCTTGCTTACACTTCCCTAAAATGGTTTACGGGAGAAATTTACGTCTCTTGCAAAAGTATTTATTTTTCTCTCACAAGTTTAATTAGCATTGTAACTAAAATAAAAAACGCAGTCATTTTAATAATTATCTTTAACAATTCTTAAAATCCATGCATTCTATTACAATAAGAAAATATAAAACTTTTTTTATAAGCAATAAAAACAATGCTCATTTAAAGAATTTATTGAAGCAGCTTGCATAGCTTACCATGTTTGTTTTAGGAGAGCTTTTCACTGCTCTTGCACTCATTTCTTCCCGCCAAGGCCTATATATATATATATGTATATATATATATATATATATATATATATGTATATATATGTATATATATATATACATATGTATATATATATGTATATACATATATATGTATATATATATATATATGTATATATATATGTATATATACATAATATATATATATATATATATATATATATATATATATATATATATATATGTATATATATATATATATATATATATATAAATATGTATATATACATATATATATATATATATATATATATGTATATATCATATATATATATATATAAATATATATATATATATATATATATATATATATATATATATATAATATATATATATATATATATATATATATATATATATATATATATATATATATATATATATATATATATATATATATATATATATATATATATATATATATATATATATATATATATATATATATATATATATATATATATATAAAGGATGCCATCTAGTCACCTTTTTATAAAGTATAAACCAACGAGGTTTAATAAACAGGAGGCGGTGTCAAATGACTTTTTTAAAGCCAGTTTTTACAATGGCCGCCATCTTGGTTAACCCAAAACATTTCACTGAACTTAAGAATTAACTTAATTATGCACCAAATGCACGGAACTTAAGAATGCACCAAATGAATAAATTATTTGCCAGTTTATGTTTGTCAGCTTTTACTATGTTATAAAGAATTATTTGTTAACTGATTTCCTTTTTTGAGTTTATTCTAATAACATTTGGAATACTGAAAATACACACACATATGTGTGTGTGTGTATGCACATTTGAGTAATTTAAAATGTATTCTACAAAATAGAGTGTTCTTAAAAGAACAGAGCAATTTATATTTAAATACATATTTGTTAAGTAATTCTTTTTCTTTAGCTTTACATGATTTATACTGAGTATAGGTTATAAAGTTGATAAAAAGATATAATTTGACATGACTTATTTTGCCTATGGGCACAAGAGATTGTGCTGATAATATTATTTTTGATAGGTACGTTAAGCTACACCAAGCAAGAAATTTCACAAAGCAATGATATATATCATTTAAATATATTATATAAAATATTGACTAATAAAGTAACGAAATCACCAGTATTAGTATTAGCATATATGGTATTCATATGGTGTTTTTTTTGTTTTATTAGTCAATATTTTTATAGAATTCCTTCAAAAAATAAATATCAAGATTTGACAAAAGTTGATAACTGCTCTACCTAGGGAAAACTTTACTGGTCTTCTTAAATCAGCAGTTGTGTTCAAAGAAAAAGAAGAAGTACTAAATCAGCTTTGTGTACAAAGCTGATATGGATAGAACTGGGACCTCGTGTGTGAGAGTTCAATATGGTGTGATATCAGGTATTTTTGAAGCACCATAGTAATAGCATACTTAGTTTTTTTTCTAGTTTAATTATTTACTTTTAATACATTTATCTTACTCTAATATAGCCAAGATCATATAAAGGTGTTATTTCATACTGAGTTGACAGTTGCGCAAAAAGATTGTAATTTTTACAGGTATAAAAGATCACAGAAAAAAATAATTTTAGCTTAACTATGTGCATCTCCATACAACTTCTAGTTTATTTTAGCTTCATTATAACTTTTAGTAGGTTTACTTTTATTA